CACATTCCGGCAATATTCCATTGGAATATTCGAAATATTCTTTGGAATATTCCATCCATATTTCAGGAATATTAAAATGTCCGACCTTCGGAATATGAGGGAATATTCCTTTAGAATATTGAGGGAATATTCGATTGGAATATTGATGGAATATTCCATCAGAATATTGAGGGGATATTTAATTGAAAAATTGTACGAATATTTTTTCGGAATACGCATTTGAAATTTATTAAAAGTTAATCAATTGTTTGTAAATTTTAATTTAAAAACCATTTTTGTATTGTATCAAAATTTATTTTTCAGAATTAATTTATATAAATACAAAACTGAATGTATTTTATTCCAATGAAGACAAAATTAAAAAATTTGTTATGTAGAAGATAAAAACATTATAAAATCAGTATTAATAGTTTAATTTTTCATTATTAAAAAATATTCATACAATGTTTCCATTAAATATTCCTTCAAAATTTCAACCGAATATTCCTTCAAAATTCCAACGGAATATTCTCCAAATATTCCAATAGAAAATTCCATCAATATTTCGATAGAATATTCCCTCAATATTCGAGTGTAATATTCCGAAGGTCAGACATTTTAATATTCCTGGAATGTTGATGGAATATTCCAAGGGGTCGTTCATAAACTACGTCACGCTATTTTATTTCATTTTTGTATCCCCCCTCCCCCACGTCACACACTGTTACATACTTTAGCGACATTTTTTCTACGGGTCGTCACAAATTGCTTAACCCCTCCTCTGTCCTTGAAGTGTGACGTAGTTTGTGAACAATCTTCAATGGAATATTTCCGGAATGTGAATAAAATATTCCGTGTTATTGGAATTAACAGAATTTCTAATTAATAGAACTTTCATTTGTCCGAAATTGCAAATGACCATTTGCAATTTCGGACAATTGAAAATTCTACCAATTAAAAATTCTGTTAAATGATTTTTCGATTAAGTAAAAAATCAAAGCTACTGTCTGCTTCTATATATAGCATAGAACTGAACCGTCGAAACTTTTCAATGTCGATAAATGTCGATAACAGAAATCTGTATTTATAAACAAATCAAAACTATTGTCTGCTTTTTATAGTACAGAACAGAAAAACCAAAACTTTTCAATGTCGGTAAATGTCGGTAACAGGAATCTGTATGGTAGAATTACTCCTAAAAATATCACAGGCACACAAAAAATAAAAAGCTGTTTGGCCGAGACACTACATTAGTCTATTTCCATGTATTTTTTCACGCTGAATCCGAATCCAAAGTCAGAATTGACAGATTGGTTCAAATTTTGAAGATAATTCCAAAAAACTTAATTTGAGTTTTTTGTTACTTGCGTTTTTTTGAAATTATCTCAAAAATTTGAGCGAATCTAACAATTCTGACTTTGGATTCGGATTCAGCGACAAAAAATACATGGAATTACACTATCGCAGTGACATTCAAAATTTTTTTAACTTTTTGATTTTATTTTTCTTTCTGAGCAGTTTTTTGAGTTTATCTCAAAAATAAAAGCCAATATTTTCGGTTATATTAAAATTCTGTAATAGGGTCAGTCGGGGTAAATCCGAACGCTAATTATTTCAGCTTAATTAAAATTTTTAAAAATAAGTTCGATATGAGAATTTTTACCTCAGATCCTCTTGAAGAGATTCTAAGTATTATCCCATTTTTTGTTTGTTAATTAGCAACAGCATAAACAAAGATAACAAGTATTGCAAAAAAGATTGAAAATCAAAGATGACACTCTTTCAGTATTTTGTCTCGTATTTGAAGAAAAAGAAGCTAAAAATTCATTTTATTATTTATAATTGTTTATTATGAATACTAGAACAGAAACTATATTTGATTTTTGCCTTCTGTAAAATTTTATTAATAATATCAGACCGTTCGTATTTACCCAAGAAAATTGGAAAACTGGGGTAAATCCGAACGGTATTTTTAATAATTTTTTTTACATCAAAGCCACACAAAATTGTTTTTATTTGAATACACTATTATTTTAACATTATAAAAGTACATAGAAAAAAGTTTTTCTTTCTATACGTATCCTCGTTAGTAATTAATAAGCAGAAACTTAATCTCTGTTCTCTCGAAAGAGTGTTTCAATTTTTTTGCCAAATGGTTTGTTGAAAAAAGTTTTTCAGGATCTTAATAAAATTTGGTATTCTACGGTTTTTGGGGTCGTTAATTACCAATTTGAAGTCAGTTTTTCAAAATTCAAAATGGCGGACGAGAATTAAAAAATTCATTGGATTCGCTCGAAAATTGTTACTCGGGGGGTTTCAGGGTTAGCAAATTTGATCATTTTTAAAAATAAGTTTTAGGAAAGTCCGCCATTTTGAATTTAAAAAATTTGACTTTTATTTTTGTATTTACATTCAATCACTCCCAAATACTTTCTGTAGCAAGTTTTGCAAAAATCCGTTATGATTTGATAAAGTTATTGAAGGTTTTAATTGTGTAATGCATTTTAATTTTTAACCTGTTTGATTTTTGTATTTATATATGATGCATTATTACATAATAGGTTTATTATCGTATTTTTTTGAGTTTTTATATAAGTTTAACAATTGCAATACTTTAAATTTATTTTCCCTAAGATTTTTCTGAAATACAGTGGCGTTCGTATTTACCCCCATATTTTAGGAAAGTTGCAAAGTATCGAGGTAAATACGAACGCTAAGTTTCCTGCGATTGTAATTTATCAAAAATTTTTTCTACCCCATAAAATTGTTCTATGGAAGTAAAGTAACAACTTCATGCACCAGAATACCGGAAGTATTTTTTTTTTAAAGAAAAAACTTATGTTATTGTTGAAACTTACTAAAAGCGTTCGGATTTACCCCAGTTGACCCTATATAGAAAATAGTTTCGATGAAAATTTTGCAAAATTCTAATTTAAACAAATAAAAATTCCATTCAAAAATAATTATGACAAATGAAAATCCATAAAATGAAATTTCTGATTAATTATTTTTAGAACATATATTCATGCGTCCCAAAAGATATAAACGAATAAGAGATTTAGAGAAAATACGTAGAATATATCTGCAAAATGATTCACTGCGTTAAGGATGCAATTAAGAGTAATAAACGAGGTATAATAAAAAGATAAACCTATTTTAAGGTTGATAATAATTTGTATAACAGCGGGATAACCAGAAGCTATATATGATCGCACACTGGTTAAGCGGCAATCGATATAAACTCGCAATTCTGATATTATATGAAAATTTCTTTTTTCTAAAAAAAAAGATAAAATCGTGCGCGTACACGATTCACTTTTGTAAATCGATACAAATAAGTAGTAAAAACAAAAAATGAAGCTATTGACAGAAATGGCTTCTTCTTCTTTTTTTCTTCTTCTTCATTCGTTGGGGCATGTTTGAGAAATCTCTTGGTATATTATAAGTAGGTATTTATGCCTTCCTGAGTTATGTGCATCTTCCTCTGAAATTATAGAAAACCCGCGACTGACAGACAATTTCCTGCGCTAGAATGAAAGCAGTCTATACTGAATATAAGTCTGCAAAGTTAATAAACTTTCAAGATCTTTGCTTTGCGGAATTCAATGACTTTTCGCTTCTCTTCCTTCGAAGCGCTAAAAAGATCAAACCGACATTTTAGGGACGTAATTAAAAAAATAAACAGAAAATAGTTATTTCATCCTTCTTGAGTGCAAAATTGCATTTAGCGAAAATTGAAAAGTGTTTTATATTACATAGTAATGTAATTTATATGGTTTATTTTTAACTTTATTTTCCGACTGTGTTTCTGTGGTTGCAGAAGTGTCGTAAATACGAAATAAAAAAAAAAACACGAAAGTAGAATTTTCAATCGTAAATTATGATTGAATTTAAAAGTAGAAACAGAATTTTTACACCAGAAAAAAGTTGGTGTTATTTTTGTCCAATTGCAACGAAAAATTTCTGCCAATTTATGGTAAAATGGAATTTCCGTTAAAATAATAATTCTGAAAAAACAAAAATTTTTAAAATAAATTCCAGACAAATTCTAACAAATTAATTTTAGTCATATGCGTCTCTTTTTAATGAATATTTCTGATGCACAATAAATACTTAATCAATAGGTTTTTTTTTTTTTTTTGAGAACAGATCTTCCCTCTTTGTGTACATTTTTTCACACTTCAAACTCGATAAAAACATATAATCTATAATTCTATCATTTCTCTAGATCCTTTCTTTAGAGCGTGTCTAAAAATGAATAAAAAATTCATGTTGAATCTATATCAAAAGAATCAAAACTTATATCTATATCCTATTCATCGATAAGAAATAAAAAAAAAGTGCAACTAAATTTTCAAACAGAGATATATATATACAGATGACCCTTTGTCGATAATTTGACACATTGGATTATTAAACATTATGGATTAGAATCATTAAAATGATTCATGATTCGTTATTGTTGTGAAAGGTGTATAGGGCACAGACAACATTCATTTAAACGGGACGCGATGGCATTATCACTTTTGAAAGTCAAGGCAATACTGTATATTAGCAGTCGGGATGTTTATCGCTGTGAAAGCATACGCCCCCTGTCGGAAATTCAGTTGGTATATATTCGAATAGAAAAGAGGCCTGCTCTCTTCTTTCCGCTATAAGAGTCTCGAAACATTTAACCCAAGATCTCAACTACAAGCAAAACTATAAATTTTATCTTCTCTTTATGTCTTCCTGCTCTCTCAACCTTGATCAGATACGTCAAAGAAGATGCTACCTATATTACAAAAAAAAATGTCCGCTATTCGGAAATATTTTTCAAACTCTTTTACCCTCATATAGAAAAATTAAATTTAATAAACGCAAATTTTTTTCTATCCACTAATAAATTGATATTACATTTTTTTGCTACGATAAATATTTCTTGTATTTCAAATGAAATTTTTCTTTCTCTCATCCTCTATTTATATATATATTATACAAAGAAAGTTAATGTAATTTTGTTTCTCTTTTCTGAATTACAGACGGGAGTTCGATTGCCGGAAGGTGCAAGTGCAGCATTAGCAAAACCAACCAAGTACCATTATTATCCTCATAATCAACACATTTATCTACTGCCAGAATGTGCTGTTCAACAGGTTTGCAATGCTGTTTATGTGAGGTTGAATTTTACACAACCATTGTGCGCTTGTCCTGGACGTTACCGTGATCCATGCAGTGCATCACTTGACATTGACGATTTACACACGACAGAATTGGTCACTGATCCACGAACAAAGGTAAAATTTTTTTTTTAATTTTTCAGATCACGGAATGCTCATTAAAATCTGATAAATAAAATTTTGTTGAAATTTTCAAACAATTTTATAAAATTGAACAATTTTTGAGGTCAAATGAATTTTATCCAAATTTTAAATAACCAAAATACTTAATTGATCTATACATTCAATTATCACAACTGTAATATATACAAATTTTTATTTAAACTAATCTATATTTGCACAAATTTTTAATGTGAACTAATCTCAATTTGATATAATTCTTACTTGGCCTAATATTTATTTGCCCAAATTATTATATGACCTAACGCATTCATTAATTATTATTTATCATAAACTTTATGTGGCCTAATTTTTTTTGTGCACTAATTTTAATTTTGCCCTAATTTTTCGCCAAATTATATTTAAAACAAAAATTATTTCTGCCAACTAAGCATCTGACAAATATAATAATGATTAGGACAAAAAAAGAATTAGTTAAAATAAAAATTAGGGCAAATTAAAATTAGTCAAAATGAAATTTAGCCTGGAATAAAATTAGGTCATACAGAAAAAAAGGTGGGTAAAAAGTTGTAAAGATAGAGGATAAAAGTCGTTAGGATACAGGGTAAAGGATAAATTTGTGATGGATAAAAATGTTACTAAAATATTACTAGAAAAATGGATGTCATATTTGAGTAAACTGTCTAATTTTAATAAAAATATTAGTAATTTTACACGTAACTTATTAAATCCACAAATTTTATACACTGAGAAAAAAGGTTTGAGCTGACAACCAAATATTTCATTTAATATATGTGCAACTAAAATTTTTTGGTTGACACAACTAAACTTTAGTTGACATCAACCAAAGTTTGGTTGAGACTACCAAATTCCTTTTCATTTTCTTATTTAGTCGTCTGAAACAAACTTTGGTTGTTGTCAACTAAAGTTTAGTTGTGTCAACCAAAAAATTTTAGTTGCACATATATTGAATGAAATATTTGGTTGTCAGCTCAAACCTTTTTTCTCAGTGTATAAATAACTAATTGCACGTGGAAATATTTTGCCTATAATTATTGTCTATTAATAAAAATATCTTTGACTGATATAACTGACAGCTGACGACAGTGCGTAAATAATCAGAACTGGGCAATTACAACTCAACGTCTGTATTGTTGCACGAAAGCAGAGTTGGGTAGTAACTGAATTTTTCGTGCATATTAGGCTGTGTCAGTGCATCGAGATATTTCGAGTTCAAGATATGACGTCAGAGGCCTGGAGGGACAACAAACAGACGACACAATGTTATTCTTACGGGGAAGAAAATTTGTTTCCACTTTCATCAATTTTATTCATACTTTAAACACGGAAAACGCTTGTTGACATATAATAAAATTAAAATGTGTGTTGATAATTAATTTTGTTATATATTTGATTCATTTGCATTGATAGATTCTCTGAATTCGTGATAAAATATAAATTTTGAGGTTAGGGGTGTTTGTTTACTAACTTGAAATCTTTTACTGCTGCGGTAATTCCCACTTAAAATATATATTTTATATCTTTTTTAATAACATGCATACTGGATATTGTTGAATAATGTTAATATGTAAAATGTGATTAGTAAACAAACTTTTCTAACCTCAATATTTATATTTTATCACGAATTCAGAGAATCTATCAATGCAAATGAATCAAATATATAACAAAATTAATTATCAACACACATTTTAATTTTATTATATGTCAACAAGCGTTTTCTGTGTTTAAAGTATGAATAAAATTGATGAAAGTGGAAACAAATTTTCTTCCCCGTAAGAATAACATTGTGTCGTCTGTTTGTTGTCCCTCCAGGCCTCTGACGTCATATCTTGAACTCGAAATATCTCGATGAACTGACACAGCCTAATATCCACAAAAAATTCAGTTACTACCCAACTCTGCTTTCGTGCAACAATACAGATGTTGAGTTGTAATTTCCCATAGTTCTGATTATTTACGCACTGTCGTCAGCTGTCAGTTGTATTAGTCAAAGATATTTTTATTAATAGACAATAATTATAGGCAAAATATTTCCACGTGCAATTAGTTATTTATATAAAATTTGTAGATTTAATAAGTTACGTGTAAAATTACTAATATTTTTTATTAAAATTAGACAGTTTACTCAAATATGACATCCATTTTTCTAGTAATATTTTAGTAACATTTTTATCCATCACAAATTTATCCTTTACCCTGTATCCTAACGACTTTTATCCTCTATCTTTACAACTTTTTACCCACCTTTTTTTCTGTGCAGATTAAAATTTATGATAACAAATGAAGTTAAAAATCGAACAAGTGCGAGTTACAATCGCATTAAAACCGAGGGTTCCGTACCCTTAAACTTAAAATTTAAGGGTGTTCAAGTGTGAAGGCCGATGGAAAAATTCCAATTTTGCTTAATTTTTCCTGTAATGTGAGCATAAAAATACATAGACTGAAAATTATCAGTTTTTCCTTGAAAACGCTATGATAATCAACTCCAATCGTGCTAACTATATATTTTTTTTGTAATCTACACGTAAAAATACATAAAAATGTATAAATTTGAATTCCTTAGGATAAAATTGTCTTCTTTTTTTATTCGAAAAATCCATGATTTTTTTCTAAAAATATGAGTTCTCTCCTTAAAAAACAATATGATCATCAAATCCAATCGTGCTCGATATATTTTTCCTGTAATCTACACGCCAAAATACATATATGTGTACCAAATTTCAGCCCTCTTGATAAATTCGTGTGGCCGCTACGGAAGGGGGGGTACATGCCTTGCATCACTTGTCTCATTAATAGGGTTCCCCCTTTGGGTACGTAACCCTAATAAATTTTACATCACATAATAATTTGGAAAGATAAATATTAGGCCAAATAAGAATTATGTTAAAATTAGTTTCAAAAAAAATTATATACTAAATAAGAATTATGCCATACAATAATAATTAGTTCAAGTACGAATTAGGTCAAATTTCGATTATGCCAAATAAGAATTAGGTCAAATGGTAATGAGGCCATATAAAAATGAGTACAAATATAGTTGAGGACAAAAAAGAATTAGGTTACATAAAAATTAGATTTATTAAAGGTAAGACCAAATAAAAATTCACAGAAAATTAAAAGGCATTAAAATAAGCTGCAACGCTTATTATTTTAATCCAATTTTGCTTATTTTTATATCAAAATGAATTAAAATAAGCAAAATTGGATTAAAATAATAAGCGTTGCAGCTTATTTTAATGCCTTTTAATTTTCTGTGTTAACTCAATTTAACGATTCAAATAAGAATTTGGATATATTACAATTGTGATAATTTAAGTTTAAATTAATTATTTTTAAAGCAAAAATTTTCTAATTCGACGAAACTTTATTTCAAAGAATTTTCAATTGACGAATTATTATTTAACAAAATTCTTAAAACGCGTAGAAATTTCATTTGACCGAAATTGAAAATGACCGAACAAACAATAGACGAAAAGATTTCACGCGAGTTTTAAAATTAATGAATCACAATTTATTGTCTTGTAATATTTTCTGACTAGTCAATTTTAAATTTCACGCAAAATATTTCCGTCTGTTGTTCGTTCGGACAGTTTCAAATTCGGTCAAATAAAAGTTTTGCGTGTTTTAAAAATTCTATAAAATAATAAATTCTTCAATAAAAAATTCTTTGAAATAAAAATTAGTCAAATTAAAAATTCTTCTAAATAAAAATTTGATTAATTTTTAAATTCTTTTAAAAATAAATTCTATCTAATAAAATTCTTTGAAATGAAAATTCTACTATCGTAAAAAAATGATTTTCTGACACTTGGTCAATTATTTTGAAATTCTATAATGGTTTTTTTTTTTTAAATAATGGTGTATTTTCGAAGTAGGGGTACCAACGATATCACAAAAAAAAAAAAAAAATTGGTATCCTAACGCATTTTGATGCGCTGATTATGAAAATGATAGTGCAAAATTGGCGCAAATTTGATTATCATGGCAAAAACCATAAAAACATTGTTTTTTGCGATTAACTCGTAAAAAACACAAAATTTCGAAAAATGTTTTAGACAAAAGTTGTAGGTCTCATAAAAACACAAATTTTATGTTCTATACATTTTTTTTACCAAAAATGATTATTTTTTGAGAAAAATAAACAAAAAAATTACTCACATAAATAACGGAAGATTAAATATGAAGACTCACCTGAAAAAAAAAGAAAAAATATAATACATTAAATATTTTTAATTTTTAAAAATTCTTTTAAACTGTAAAAATATTAGACAAGTAAAATTACTAGACAAATAAAATTATTTCACAAATATAAATATTAGACAAGTAAAAATACATTTCTGTTATAACATTTGTGCAAAACTAAAATTATATTTAACTGAAAAATTTTGAAAAACGTTTTAAAAAAAAAAAAAAAAAGAAGTGTTAGTATTACTGTTACAGTTACAGTTCTACAATAGTATCATTGTATATATAATATTTTCTCTCTAATCCCTCCAACATCTAAATAATTCATTTTACTAAACATATACATTATATATACATTCACGTGTTTCAAAAATGACCCTTTTTTATACAATATATATATACATAACTTTAATGTATAATAAGAGCAAGTTGTTTCATCTACTGATAAGCTCTATCTACTATAGATAATTTACTTGTATTATACGGGTCAACCTAATAAATAACACCTCTACAAGAAGGGAGTAACCTGGCTTAAATATAATAATCAAAAGGATGAGAATAAGAGTAAAAACCAGGAAGTAAAATATAAATAGGATGAATCAGTAGTAACAGTCCATTTCTCGACTGTTGCACACTTATAAAGATACGGGCATTCACGAGAGGCACATCTTTACCCACTATATATATATATACATATATATATTATAAAGTAGTGTAGCAAATGTCCAGCAGTGAAACTTTAGTAGACAAAAACCGTTTGAGGAAACGAATGACAACGTTCAAACTGTACT